AATGTCATATGTATATTGCCATAAAAATTTTCCATTTAGCTCACTATTATTATGATTATTGTTATTATTAATTTGTTTTAAATATTTTTTTTTAATTGCCTATCCTTTACAGGACGTTGCAGAGCCAACCCCCGCATTTTGGGCTGCTGTGGTTTTTCTAGGCAATTTTACGTCCAGTAGTTTGCTATTGCTTTTTGAACGGTCAGCTTCTTGATACCATTGTTGAAACCAACGCAAGCCGCAGAGCCGCAGCGGAGATCGAACCCGGCACCCCGGCATTACAAAACGCGTTCGCAACGCCTAAGCCACAGATGCGGACTACTATTAATTACTATTAATAATATTTTTATTGCGGTGACCGTGGCTCAGGCGTTGCGAGTCCGACTCGTAATTCCAACGTACCGAAATCGAAACCCACTGCTGGCTGCGTGGAATTTTATCATGGTTTTGGACGTCGCAGGTCGACCCAGCCAAAAATGAGTACCAGGATGTATGCCCTGGGGAAGTAAAGACGGCCGGCGTAACGCTGACCACATTACCCACCTTGTGCCGATTGGTCTGTAAAAATATGAATGCTCTTCCCATGGGCCCGTTGCGCCTAAAGTCGTGAAAAGGGATCTTTACTTTTAATTTCTTATTGTACACTTAAACAAGACTTAAGCCCTTGAGCCGCCACCATCAGCAACTTCAGGTCTCCCAATGATTTTTTAATGGCGGCGCCCCTACATCATTGAAGTAGCTAAATATTGCCTCTAAATGTTTCACAGTTCTTACAGTCTGGCGCCAAGAGTTGGCGCCATGTAATTTCAAATATTTTTTTTCTGGTAACCTGCTTGTTTACCTGTTGTAGACCTGCCGTGTCTCGGTTGATTTGGAAGCAGTTAGACTTATATGTTGTGACATTAACACAAGCCACGCAACTAGCAAAAGGAACCATCTAACTCCTCGAGATGTCGCTTTAAGGCATTAAATACAGACAGAGGAAAGAAAGAAACGAGAAGATTTGAACATATTATGAGTAGTTGTTATCTAAAACATGTTGGGATCAATACACTTTTGAAAATGTCTGTTTTTTTAAACATTATCCAGACAAAGAATAAAGCTGATTTTCAGAAGATAGCAGTTTCATGTGCAGTAAGTCCTTTTCATTGAATTTGCCAAAGAGAGCGGTGGAATGTTATATGGAACCTGTTCTGTTGTATGGTAATGAATTTCGAATGCAAACGAACAAATCAGATAGGGTGTTTAAGCAGAGGTGATGTGGTTTCTAATACGAATGTTGCCAAGCCAGAATAACTAAGACGAGTCATCTGAAAAAAAATGTGATCTTTTTATTCTTCTTTGCGTACATCAGCAGTAAACTCCGACCGAAAGTTTTGGCTGTCTATCCACACTGGACTTTACTCTTGATCCACAACTTGCTTTTTCCGTGAACATCCGTTTGACATATTTGGCTTATTAATATGCAGACTGTTGGTTCCTTGCCTCTCATTTCCTACTACACTGGCGTGTCCAAGAGAAAAGATTCATACAGTGCTTCTCACCGGTGACCTCCGGAGCGAAGCATGCCTGTCCTGACCTTCCTGAGCATGCTTTCTGGGTCAGTTATAATCACGATGTGTGTGTGTGTGTGTGTGTGTGTGTGTGTGTGTGTGTGTGTCGTGTTCTTTAGCCAGCGGAAAGCTGCAGTGTCCGCCTCCACCTCCATTCTTAAACTGCATGTTGTGGTATCATATGCTAGGCTCTCCTGCACCAAACGTCGATGATTAACTTTTGCTAAGATATCACAAGCACTTCTTTTGCCTCTTAACACTGAACCGTCTGTATAAATAATCACACCCTCTGAGCGAGCATTATCTTGAATTAATTGTTGAATTTCCACCTCCGTGGCACTTGCTGGCCAGTCTCTGCACTCCTGGCTCAATGTGATTATGACCCTACACAAATCTGACTGCTCAGATGGCATCTATACCCTACTCCACTCCTCGCCTTATGTTCTTCAGGATGCAAAAAATCTGCTGCCTGAGCCAGCCGTGACTTCCCTCTTATCAGCCGCTGACACTGCGCCCAGAGCTTCGTGCAGCTACTCTGAGATAAAACTCAAGGAGGAATCTGTCTATGGACATGTTCGGAAGTGCCGTAAAGATAAAACCTAATTCATTACTTACACACCAGACTGGTGTAACCTGCAATCCTGTTCATGTAAGGCTAAAGCTAGCACCTGTTGCTACAGGTCAGTAGTTTATGGCCTTCAGGATTGCATGATGCCCTATTGAGACCTCAAGGGTGAGAATCAAACAGCTACAAATCCGGGCACCCCATTAAATTGCATAACAGTTGGATACATAGCCATCGTTGTCATTGAACATATTATGAGTAGTTGTGGTATAAAACATGTTGCGATCAATACACTTTTGAAAATGTCTGTTTTTTAAACATTATCCAGACAAAGAATAAAGCTGATTTTTAGAAGATATCAGTTTCATGTGCAGTAAGTCCTTTTCATTGAATTTCGAAAATAGAGCGGTGGAATGTTATCTTGAACCTGTTTTGTTGTATGGTAATGAATTTCGAATGCAAACGAACAAATCAGATAGGGTGTTTACGCAGTGGTGATGTGGTTTCTAATACTCCCTTAGGCGAAAAATATCATGTTTCTCACACGATCACAAGAAACACGGATCAGTTCAATGTTTTTGTCCCATCCATCTGGCTAGGCCATCCAGGTATTTATCTATTTGCCTTCCTCTTGGGCTCTCTGCACCAACCTTGCCAGTTGTTGCCAAGGTCTTGAGTCAATTTCTTCTCATAATGTGTCCAAAAATATTGACTGTCTACGTCTGATTGCATAGTAACTAATGATTAACCGACGGTTACCATAGTAACCTGAAAATCCAGAATGTTTTATTCTTGTTGATGATTGACTGATGAATTCCCTCTATGGACTTTATCTGTGTATGAGGCCTGTATAGGCAGCCAGCTTATGTATCCAGGTCTTTCTTAGCCTGCCTTTTCCAGTTGGAAGTAGGACATCTTTAATGGGAGTAGAGATGTTGGACAACGTCATAGAGGCTGGATAATGAACTGGCTACACGTAACAGAAAACACAATTTAACATTATCCAAGCATATCATGTTATGAGGAAACTGTAGCATGAGAGCCAACTCTAACACATTGTATTTCTACTTCTATGTATGAGTGCCTTTCAGAACATTATCTATTTGTTTATGCTATATATTTTTTTATGGCATCAAGGGTTCCCCCTCTGTTTATTTAATAGAAAGCAAAGCTATTGCTGTTAATCTCAGTAATTGCTTTCATCATCACCAAGGTTAGTAGCTTTAAGAATTGAAAACCATTTGGGAACATTTCAGAGCATAAAGAGGAGAGTACAACAACAAGGATGTGTACTATCACCTGACGTCTTTTTATTATACAGTAAATACATAATAGGATCGATCATGGCTATGCCAGGAGTTGTGGTTGGTGGTCATAACATAAACAAACGATGTTATACCGATAACAGAAAAATAATAGTGCCTAAATGTATAATAAGAGTCGTTGTTTTAGAACAACTACATGAATTGAAGTATCTAGTCACTGGAGGTTAGGAGAGGCATTCTCGCAAGCTATATAGAGCCAGTACGTAAGGCTGTGAAGCCTGAGCAATTAATAAACAAGCAGAACAATTTCTGGAGGCCTCGGAGATGTGGTTTTACAGAAGAATCCATAGAATGCATTGGACAGCTAAAAAGAGCAACCCAGATGTTTTGAAAGAGGCAGGTGTTTGAAGACAACTTATTATAGAGACAGTCATTATTTTTTAGTCATGTTATGAGAAGAGGGGCAAATGGAGCCTGTTGCAACCCCTGGAAAGGTTTGTGGGAAGAGAGACAGAGGACGACAGCGGGAGAAGATTCTGGACAGACTTTTGTCATGGCATGATACACGCAGATTGTGGAGAATCATGATCGCCCACGCCAGCCGATAAAGCACTTTTAGACCATATTTATGGTTGGGCTATATTGCGGCCCCTGGCAAGAGCCAGAGTAGGGCTTCAGATAACAAAAAAAATGGCATCCCACAAGGAGATAACAAGATAACAACAGGTCGTGAATGGTATTCACACAAATACTGACTAGAAGGCACCATAAACGTCATTACGATTGGAAGTTTGAGTCGCCATACCGGGATTTTAATATGTAACTTCCCGAGGCTTTTTCTAGAAGGGGAAAAAAGGCCCCAGTACTCACTCAAATGTGTCTTTAAAAAGTTGCTTGTATTCATCACAAATTTCTATTGCAGTAGCACTGAAAAAAGTGATGCCGCAGTTAACACTATATATCCCAGCTATAACCCTTTGTTAAACAGGATATTTTTAAAGAAGAAAAATAAAAATAAAAACCTACTGTCTCCACTAGCCATTTTAACGATTTTATATAAGGGACAGTAGATCTAATCTTTTCTTTTATGCTACGAAATAAGGCCCAGGAACTCACATTTGAATAACCAGGTTATCAATTGAAATGGCTTGAATCTATTCATAGAACACCCATCATATAGAGTCAGTTACTATTTATAGAACTCTGGCGTGAAACGTCATTATCGACATCCTGGAAGTGTCAACGTTAGGGCTCATACTTTGTACAGTCGGGCCGTTTTGTTTCTGTTCAAACTCGACACGTGGAGATTGTCTGTCTAGCAATAACACCTTTCCCTAGCCAACATCATCTTCATTATGTCACCACCAGTTTTCCGTGTACAGTCAACTCGCTATAAAAGCAATGATTCCCTTAATTTCGTCAATCACAGTTGGGACACTTAGCTGGTCGTTGTTAAGAAATACAGGAGACTGTGAAAAAGAATTATTAAACAGTACACTTCTAATTCAATCCAGAGACAAGATACTTTCAAGCGTGAAAAGAGAGCGACTGGTTTAGCCATATTTTGAGTAATTGTGATTTAGCTTACAACTGCAGTGAAATATCAGTTTCCTAGCCATGGGTTTACTTCTTGCCAAGTTGTACGATGCAATCCAAAGTTTCCAGACCGGGGTCCCTGCTCGGGTTCTCTTGTTGGGGCTTGACGCTGCTGGCAAGACTACAATCCTGTATAAGGTATTTGATTATTATTCTTAGGGTGCTGTCCTCTGTATGCTTTGTCTGAGGGGTGCCTACTACTTCTACTACCACTACCACCACTACTACCACTACACTATCACCACCACTACTACCACTACACTACCACCACTACACTACTACTACCACTACTACTATTACCACCACTACTACCACCACCACTACTACCACTACTACTACCACTACTACTACCACCACCACTACTACCACTACTACTACCACCACCACCACTACTACCACTACTATTACCACCAACACTACCACCACTACTACCACCACTACTACCACTACTACAATACCACCACTAATACCACCACTACTACCACTACTAATACCACCACTACTACCACTACTACTACCACTACTACTACCACCACTACTACCACTACTAATACCACCACTACTACCACTACTACTACCACCACTACTACCACTACTAATACTACCACTACTACCACTACTACTACCTCCACTACTACCACTACTAATACCACCACTACTACTACCTCCACTACTACCACTATTAATACCACCACTACTACCACTACTAATACCACCACCACTACTACAATGCCACTACCACCACCACTACCACTACTACTACCACTACTATTACCACCAACACTACTACCACTACTACTACCACCACTACAATGCCACTACTAATACCACCACTACTACCACTACTATTACCACCAACACTACCACCACTACTACCACCACTACAATGCCACTACTAATACCACCACTACTACCACTACTATTACCACCAACACTACCACCACTACTACTCACTACCACAGACTACCACTACTAATAACCACCACTACTACCACTACTAATACCACCACTACTACCACTACTAATACCACCACTACTACAACTACTAATACCACCACAACTACCACTACTAATACCACCACTACTACCACTACTAATACCACCACTACTACCACTACTAATACCACCACTACTACCACTACTAATACCACCACTACTACTACTACTACTACTACCACCACTACTAATACCACCACTACTACCACTACTAATACCACCACTACTACCACTACTAATACCACCACTACTACCACTACTAATACCACCACTACTACCACTACTACTACCACCACTACTACCACTACTAATACCACCACTACTACCACTACTAATACCACCACTACTACCACTACTACTACTACCACTACTACCACCACTACTACTACCACCACTACTACCACTACTACCACTACTACCACTACTACTACCACCACCACCACTACTACCACTACTACTACCACCACTACAATACCACTACTACTACCACTCTTAATACCACCACTACTACAACTACTATTACCACCACCACTACTACCACCACTACTACCACCACTACAATGCCACTACTAATACCACCACTACTACCACTACTATTACCACAACACTACCACTACTACTACTACCACCACCACTACTACCACGACCACTACACTACCTTCACTACTACCACTACTACTACCTCCACTACTGCAACCACCACCACGTAAAAACTATTACCACTCCTGCTGCTACTACTGCTCCTACTGCTCCTACTACTGCTGCTGCTATTATTACTACTGCTGCTGCCACCATTACTTCTATTGCTACTCATAAGACTTGTTACTGATATTATTATTATTAGTGTTCACCAGTTTTGTGAAATTCGAATTCGTGCACTGAGCTGAATTCTCATTGCGAATGTGTTTTATGGAAAGAGACTACTGCACTTAATGGAGATGCATGCCTACAATGAAAGTTACCGTGAACACTAGGGAAACAGTTATTATTATATTCAATGGAATATAACTTATTGAATTGTAATGTATTCTAAGACTATTTTCAAGAGTAATAGATCTATGATAAATCTGGGGTTAAAACAAACTAAAATCTAAGTATTGTTGGAAAAGAACTGCTAATATATTCACACTGTAATCTATCATTCATTGCCAATACCAAAAATAATTGACCCTCACACCTACCATAAAAATGTTTCATTTTATGTAAGACATTGTTTATTGCTGTCATTTTGCCACAGTGAAACCATTTCTAAAAACTAATTTAAAACTTTAGGCAAATTTAAACATTAAACTGCATGCCTGCAGTAAATTAGCTTATTTAATAATTATTTTTAAAGCCCCAAAATAATACTCGATGTGTGATTTCTTCTTCTTCTTCTTCTTCTTCTTCTTCTTCTTCTTCTTCTTCTTCTTCTTCTTCTTCTTCTTCTTCTTCTTCTTCTTCTTCTTCTTCTTCTTCTTCTTCTTCTTCTTCGTCTTCTGCATTCAGCCGCAAAAAGGCGTTTAGTTCTGTGTGTTGTGATTTACAGCTAGGCATCAATATCCAGGCCTGTCAGAACAACAAATACGATTTCGGCCAACCATTAATGATTTGCTGTTTTTACGACAATCTTGTTAAGTTGGAGTGAATCAGTTCCCCTCCTGCTACCCGACCTCCTCCTTGTGCACTTAATGTATCCGCTCAACCCACACACATCGTTTCATCTTCAACACGTCTAGGCTAAAATTGGGATCTATCGTGTTTTTATGATATTTCAATACTGTACATTCATTCATTCAGTAGCATGTCCCTCGCGGATCCTCGTATACCCCTTTATTGTTCTCTCTATCTGTTTCACAAAATATAGTGCTTATGAATTACTGTTATTATTTTATTTATATTGCCTGTTTGATATTGCCTTTGTATGAATTGTTAGAGACTGCAGTTGTATACATGATTAAGTTTCATATATTTCATGCATACATTTAACGTAATTATGATAATAATAAATTTAACAGATAAAGCTGAACGAGAATGTGTCCACCATTCCAACAATCGGCTTCAACGTGGAGACAGTGACACCGGTCAAGGGCGTGACCTTTACCATGTGGGATGTTGGAGGTCAGGAAAAGATTCGCTGTTTGTGGAGGCACTACTTCGAAAACACGCAGGTTTGTAGGTAAAATGTAATCATCATTATCATAGGCCATGTGTAGGCACAGGCTGTATTTTTTCCTCCATCTCACTTGATCACCAGAATCAAGGATCAGGTCAATGTTTTTGTCTCGTCTTATCCATCTCGCCAGGCCATTTAGGAATTTTCATCTTTGCTTTCCTTTTGCTCTCTTTCAATAAATCTGACCAGCTGTTACCAAGTTCTCGAGTCTCTCCTTCTCATCACATATCCCCCCCCCCCCCACACACACACACAAGACACTGTCTATCTAATGGATGAAGTGAACATGGTACCGAATGTGGTACTTTTCGTTTTGTTTCCCTTATCTTAAGGATTCTGAGATTTCGTGGGAAGTTCCTGGGAAATCCAATATTATAAGTTAGTTAGGGTTAGTGTTAGTGTCCATTTCATACCCTAACACCCCTATACTGTTCGACTTTCCCAGGACCTTACCAGGAAATCTCGGAGTTCCCAAGATAGGATGAACAAAAAGAAAAGTTAGTCAGGTGTTATCTCTACAATGCCGGTTGGCAGCGATGGCTCTGCAGCATGGTCTTTTGCCTCAGTACACTGTCTCAAACTGCATCTATCTATTCATGACATCCTCTCGTTTGTTATCTTATTTGCCTGCCTCCAATTTCCCCTCCAGTGTTTTTGAGTGTCATACTTTTTATTTAATTAATTCGTTCAGTCCCAAGCAATGATTCGTGTGTGAATGGCTCTCGATTCGCGGCGTGGGGGACTCGGTAGTCGGCGGAAAACCGCAAATTAAGTCGATAAAAGTGCGCAATTGACACGTGACTGAGGGCCCTGTTTTTGGCCGCCATTGGCCGCCATCTTTTGTGCCCGTTATTCGGAGGATAGCCCAATAACGTAATGATGCCTGTTCAACCCTTATAGGTTATCACTGGTAGTGTCCTATGTAGGTTCTGGGGCTCCTCTTGTGGGGGAAACAAGGATAGACCCACTGCCTTCACAACAAGCATGTCATATGAGTCGACAAATTGGGGGCTTTCTTTCAAGTCAGAGTGCATTTGCTTATGCCTGACAGGCAAGGTACCAATAGTCTGCACACAAAAAAGTCAGATCAGTAAAATTGAGGTCTATGCAACACTCAGGTTCTGAAACAAGACTAAAGCCCAGAGGTGGACAAACAACCAGAACTTTCCACTGGAGTTTACAGCCAACGAAGATGAAGAAGAAAAAGAAGATAACTGGGAGTGTTTATCTCTTCTCATATTGGATAATAATGCTTGACAAATTCATTCAGTCATTGAACTGTTATGCAATTATATGACACATAGAGACACAGTTTATTCTCCATTCCATTCCATCCAGTGCAATCACTTCGATATCATGGATGGAATCCAGCATCTTTGGCTTCTCTCACCAACGTTCATCTTTTGGTTTCTCTTAGATCTCCTCACTTCCTAAGTCCTTATGTCCCATTTCAGTGCCTGTTGTTGTCTAATACTTTAAGCTGTTCAATACTGCATAAATGTGTAACTATAATAAATCATTTTGCATTTTCTATGATTGCCTTTAAAACTGTGATTGGCTTGTTTTGTTGTGGTCTACAGCTAGGCCTCAGTATTGTGATTTTCAACACAACACACCCCATTTAAATAAACCCTTAATTAGTCCTGTCCCAAGGAAGTGGATCTTTTACCATGACCCCCCCCCCCCCCCCCACACACACACACACACACACACATTGCCCCATAACCCACACTAGGATAACATATTATGATATTTTATTACCACATGGGGATAACAGATTATTCTATATTAGGTTATGAGTATAATAAAGGTATAATTTTCAAATAAATGTTATAATCAGATTGCATTATCTATTTATGGGTACAAAAGTGATACCCAGTATCAGAATAATTAGTCTGAATAAATAAGAATGATTGATTTGATCAGGGTAATAATTCATGTAATATCTTCTTCTTCTTTCATTCGCTTGAAATAGATTATCTATATCTGCAATGTTGTCTCTAGCATGAAATATGTAATAGAACTTTTACATTGAATATTTTCCAGGGGCTTGTCTTTGTTGTGGATAGTTCTGATGTTTCTAGGATGCCTGATGCACAAGAAGAGCTCTTCAACATCGTCAAAGATCCTGCAATGATAGGCGTGCCAGTTGTAGTACTAGCCAACAAACAAGATCTACCGGGGGCCCTACCAACTGCAGAAGTAGCCAACCGACTTGGCCTTTGTGAACTTCGGGACAGAAAATGGTTTGTTCAGGGCGCCTGTGCCATCAGTGGTGATGGAATTTATGAAGGGATGCAAGAAATGGCGAAGCTGGTGAAAGAATTTAACAAAAAGTAGATAATTAATGGGACATTGTTTCCCCAAAAAATGTGTTTATATGGACCTATGACTGATTGATTGGCACCTTTCCATCTTTTCAGACAGTAGTGTTATATTGTGCTTTGGTGCATGGGAGACCCAGCCCTCGAATGCAATGTGATTAGCAAACCCCGATGTTTCCACAGCACAAAGCCTGGGCAGTTTTATAGAGTATGTTGCAGATGCATCATGATTCTCTCTCAATCCCGCTTTGTTTACCCCAAAGAAAAGGTAACACAATGATTTTTTAACAAAGAATGCTACACAAGCTGCTGGATCAGCATCTTAAGTAATAAGCCTAATGGTTTAACGTATATAGCCTCTAGCTCAATATTGTCACATATTTGTGAGGGATTCTTACTTGCAGTACTTAGAATCAAAACTATCCCAGTGTAAGTGTAAACAATGACACAAACAATATACTGCACAGTTTATTGTCTCATATGATTCACCAGACTTTCAAATAATGTGTGTATTTCAATCAAAATGATTCATTTATTGTTTGTGTGCTTTATTTTATATATACATATATATATATATATATATATATATATATATATATATATATTAGGTCGATCAGCACCTGGCGGGTAATGTGGTCAACATAACGCCAGAGGCCTTTACTTCCTAGAACTTTATCTGGTATCTATTTAAGGCTAGGTCGACTGGGAGCCACGGTCATTTTTTTTTAAATGTTTGGCTCCATCAGGCACTGAACCCATAGCCTTCAGATATACAGATAAGCCTCTAGCCGCTACCCGATGCCGGACTAATATATACATACATGTTTATCATGTGGCCAAAATTGTTAACAGCTGAATCTGTAAAGCCTCTTTTATTGTGTTAAAATAAAATTTGCAAGTATGTTTTCAGACTAATAGAATATATGTAGTATTATGTAATATCCACACTAAACTATTTAAATCAAATTCTGTGATGTTGTTTGTAAAATTTTAGTATGGTTGTTCAGTTTCACATATTTTGCCTCAAAATGTATGTAATAAATAAAGCTTCTTGATTTAAATGTGTCTCTTCATAGAATTGTCTCAGTCGTCAGTCTCCCCACATGGGTTCTGGGCCTCATTCTTGAAAAGAAAAAATAAACCACTGCCCTTCTTGCAAGCATGGCTTAGGAGAAGACTAATTAGGGGTGTCTCCTTTGAAATTAGAGCGCAGCTGCTTGAGATGACATGAACCAACAGTCTGCATACAAATAAGCCAGATCTGTAAAACAGATGTGCGTGCAAAACTAAAGTTCTGGAACAGGTATAAAGTCCAGAAGTTGATGAACAATAAGAACTTCCTGCTGGGTTCTACAGTGGTTGAATGCACAAAGAAGAAAAGAAACTTGTCTGTCCATACAGTCACTTCTTCTTCTTCTCTTTCACCATTTACCACAGCAAGGTTTTTTTTTTTTGTGGGGGGGGGGGGGGGGGCAAGAGGTGTGGGGGGGGGGGGGGGGGGAATCATTTGTGCGCTTCTTCCAATTCATTGCTCCATTTTTGCATAGTCTTCCTCTTGCTCTGTGTTCATTATATTTCTTCAGTTTGGCTCTCTGTGTCAGTTTGTACCAGAGCATTCTTGTCGGGTGGCCAAACCATCTCATTTGTTGTGACTAATTTCTAGATTCGTGGCTGGCCGAACGGTTAGAACGCTGAGCTCTCAGGTGGGAGACCCGGATTCGAATCCTCGGTAAGGCTGGAAAATGTTTCTGTATCTGGCAAAAAAAAATCACTTGCACAGTCGTAGTGACAGCACTAGCCTTGTAGTGACAGCACTAGCCTTGTAGTGACAGCACTAGCCTTGCGGCAGCCGTACATCCTCAGGCTCAAAGGCCCCCCCCCCCCCAAAAAAAAAGTGGTATAACAAAAGCTGTAATTGACAGATGTTTGTGTGTGTGTGTGTGTGTGGGGGGGGGGGGGGGGCAGATTCTATATTCAAAGTGTATGCAGCTCACAGCTTAAATAAATATTGTAAATATTATATGTTTAACTTTTAGCTTTGGTGAATATTTTCTTTAAGTATGTATGTATCTTGTTGTTTGAGTGAATATTCCATATGTTTTAAGTAAGTGTAACTTATAAGCTGAATTAAAATCTCTGTGTTGAAAATATGTGTGACTAATGTCTTAAGTGAACATTTGCTTGTTCTAAGTCTATGTAACTTGTAGGTTGTGTGAATAATTTCTATGTTGTGTATGCAACTTGTGGCTTGTATAAATATCCTCTGTGTTCTAAGGTGTGGAACTTATCTGAATGCATTCTTTCAAAATCCACCCCGGGATCAGCTGGGATCAAACACAGAAGAAAACAAATAGAACAACACATCTTACACTAAGTAAGGTAACTCAAAGGCACACTTGTAATTATAATCAAATTCAGTCCCTTGTTATAAAGTCATGAGTATTTTATCTAGGCATATAATGACAATCTAATGGCATAAATAAAAGTCATGCATTTAGAATATAAAAACATAAAATTTTCATATAATGATAATTACTAGATTTTAAATAAATATCAGCAAATTCTGACTAGGTTTTGTTTGGTAGTTTGTGGCAGTCAAGAAGTGAAAGCAATGATGAGTGTGAATAAGATTGTATTCCAAAGCGAATTGATTGGCCTGAGAGCCATACAAATAATGATTATAAGTACTTCTTATTCTTCTAGTGATTACGTCTATAAAATGATTGCCTCATTATGTCAGTTCTCATGATGACTTCATACTTTTCTGTGTGTAATAAGGTCTTCTTTAGTTTCATAAAAATCATTTCAAATGAAAAGAATAACTAGTCAGCTTCCCAACGAAAAATGAAAATCACAAATGTCAAAATGAATGTTGTGGCTAAAAATTTTTCATCAGCAAACAACAATATGGACAGCAATGCTTTAGTTCCATACAGTTAAGTTTTGATTCATTAGGCCTGTGTATTTTTCTGAAATATTTCAATACTGATAGCTTGAGTAAGTTCTTTGGTTACTCTATGCAGTACATATTTCTTTACATTTCCCCCCAACTCTTCAGCTGTGTTAACCCATTCTTTCTCAGTAATGAACCCTTCAAGTCCCGAGCAACACCCCGTATGTGAAGGAATTTACCAATTGATGGCATAATGTGCTCACTTATTTTTACCATTTGGTCAGAACAAACTAAATAAATCTGGCTTCCCAAATTTATCACTTCAACTATGTACTGACACTTTGAAAGAAAGTGAAAGAAAGTGAATATAACTTCTATCCTCAAGCAGTATTTTTCAATCTTATAAGGCAAAACATGTATTGCTCTATGGTACATAACTTGAGGCAACATTTTTTGGGAGGTCGAATTACCCTTTCACAGAGGTCACCTAAGACCATAGGAAAACACAGATTCATTAAAGTTATAAAGTAGTAACTAAAATAATTGTATGTCTGGGGGTTGCCAAAACATGAGGAACTGTAATAAAGGGTCGCCACAACATGAGGAACTGTATTAAAGGGTCGCCACAACATGAGGAACTGTATTAAAGGGTTGCCAAAACATAAGGAACTGTATTAAAGGGTTGTGGCGTTAGAAAGGTTGAGAGCCACTGGGTTAGACATTGTTGATTTAAACAAACTACTTGGGAATGACAAGAATTAACTCCCTGTACATTTAGCAATCCCACAGAACATGTTTAGCAGTTTGTTTACTGGACTTTGCTTACTGAATTCATGTAAAATGATAAAATATGAGTTAATGTAAATCAACTTGATAAGCACCACACACCTTTACAAATAAGAGAGCAATGGAAATGAAACATATGGGTGATTTTTTTTAAATGTGGCAGTTTATAAATGCATCTTTAAGAAGAAGAGTAGCAAAGTACAGTGGTACCTGTGCGTTAGTCCTTAATTCATTCAAGTCCTTGGACATATACCAAACAGGATGTATACCAAGTTGGATGTATTAGAAAGTGGATGCTTAGAGATAAACCACTGTATGAATATGTATCTATTCAGGCAGTCAAGTCAGAAATACTAAGAACTTGACAATATCTGAATGTTTAGCACATTTCACTATATGATTTCCTTAATGAGCAACAAAGAAATACTAAGAACTTGACAATATATGAATGTTTAGCACATTTCACTGCCGGATTTCCTATATGAGCAACAAAGAAATACTAAAAAGTAATAATTTGTTTACAATGATGCCAGAGGTTCCAGCTTCACTGCAGATAGGTCACCGCAGTGAACTCTTTCAGTCCCCGATTGTTTTTCTTTAACTTGTTCTGGTTTTAAAAGGTGTCAGGCCTACTTCATATGAATAAACTCTTATGTGTGTGTATGTGGAGAGGTTACATAATAAATTATATGACAGGAAAGTTTCAAATGGTAATTGTGGTAAAGTGGGTTTATTTAACCGATGGGTCAGTCACAAGAGGTTATGGTGAATGCTTTTTTTTTTTTTGGCCGATCTGTATGCTTTAATGACCGATAAATTTGCGTGGTTAGGGGTAGGTTTAGGGGTAGGATTAGGGTTAGGGTTAGGGTTAAGATTAGGGGTAGCGTTAGGGTTGCGGTTTGGGGTAGGGTTAGGGTTAGGGTTAGGGTTAGGGTTAAGGTTAGGGGTAGGGTGAGGGTTACGGTTAGGGGTAGGGTTAGGTTTAGGGTTAGGGTTAGGGTTAGGGGTAGGGTTAGGTTTAGCGTTAGATGTGACAATTTTGACGCCGTAGTTCCCTATAATCGCGCACAGTCACATACACACTCAAACAGTCAACGGATGGTGGATGCTACTGACACGGGACAATTCGCCACCGATTGGGCACCAGCCGCCGGCTATTGGTGTCATATTTTGCAGAATTTCAGTGGCGGCACTCCCACAAGCATCAGATTGTCGGCCACTATTTCGACCAAATTTTCACATCTAACCCTACCCCTACCCCTAACCCTAACCCCTAACCCTAACCCTACCCCTAACCCTACCCCTAACCCTACCCCTAACCCTACGCAACCCTACAC